AGGAAGGGCTTTCACGCTGCGCCTGCCACGGTGCCCTGTTGGAAAGGGGCAGGCTTGCCTAGCTCACCTTTCCAAGCCCTTCCCAGCAGCCTGTGACATATTTCCCTTCCCCTTCTGCCTCAGATGCTCAGTCAACATTATTAGCATCATGATCAAAGGGGCATTTCCATAACTCCTTTCTGAGGTGAATAGGTTTCCAGAATCTAGAACAAAGGACCTAAAATTAAATGGGCTCAGATTATTTAATGTGCAAGGGCCCGCCGAGCATCTGTCTAAGAGACACTAATTGCTTGCTATTTTAATAAAGTGGTATTGGTCCTAATGAGTCCATTTATTTTGAAAAAGTAGAGCGTGCACCAGGAGCTGAAGGTCAGTTTGGGCCGAGGAGCGGTGGCCACTTGGGGCTATGGAGAAGGTGGAGCATTTTCACCTGACAGCACTGTCTCCTTGTGGTTTAACAGATTACGCCTCTGCATTTCATACATTTTGGAGCCATCCAAGGGCCTCATTTCCAGGATTTCTTCTCTTCATATTTATGAGACTGACAGGTTTATTCTGCTGAAAGGTCAGAGAACTATAGGTCACGGTACAGATTTTTCTAACTACAAAGAGTTTACTGCACAGAATTGGGTCCCGTTCAAAAGCTCAAGCAAGGATCTTAGTGATGACATTAGGAATTTTAGGCAACTAAGAAATAAACTTGAAGGATCCCTTTGACCTTGGTTCAATGCAAACAAATACAAAGATCCCGAGGTAAGGACTGCTTAGGTGATACGTATGCCTGTGAGCAATTAAATTAGAAGCAGTTGACAAAAGCGGTGTTTCAGGCTCTGCCTCTGGGCAAGGGTCATTCAACTAGGATTCATAATCCTGATCAAGGAGATCCACGGAACCTCAGAAACAGTATGCAGCATTTTGTGCATAAGGGATTTTTGTGGAATACGGGTCCACAGCCTTCACGATTCTCAAAGAATCCAAGACTCAAAACAGCATTAAGAACAACTGTTCTTGCTTTTTCTTTCTTCCTTCTTTCTTTCTTTCCTTCCTTCCTTCCTCCCTTCTTCCCTCCCTCCTTTTTTTTCTTTTTTTGTCTGCATTTTCTTCATGAAGACCTAAGGCCTTAAACATTCTCAGCAAGACAGCTGGCCGATCCCTAGCGAGTGCATACCTTCTGTAGGATCAGAAACTTGCCAGGTGTGCACGCTGTGTACACACATAAAGTTTTAAGTCTTATGTTAAGATAATTATTCTTATTATGATTATTGAAACAAGGAAGGATGATGATACTCTTAACTCCCATTTAAACTTAGTCTGCTCTTTCAGTGCCACACTTGTGTCTTGTTTCACTGTTTGCTTGTGTTGTCATCACTGTATAATGGCTTTGGAATGAGGCAGGAGGGTGGATGACAAAAAGGAAATAATTTCAGGTTGCATAAAATCCTACAATGCCTTCACAATGCAATCTATGTTTTCTTTGTAATCCATGAAGCTGACTTTCTTTCCAGCACCATTTATCTTGTCAATCAATCCCAGTCTACCTTTGCTGTTGAGGTCAACAAGTGTCGACTAAGTCCCCCGGTATGTACCGACCCTGTGTGCTAGGAGTACGAAAACAGGACGACAGGGCCTCTCCTCTTAAATTTGCATCTCATACTTCAGAGAAGCAGATTCTATTGGTGATTACTCCTAGGTTAAAAGAAAACTGAGACATTTCTCCAAAGAAGATATATAAATGGCCAATGAGCACATGAAAAAACACTCATCATCATTAGTCATTAGGCAAATATAAATAAAAAAACACAATGAAATACCACTTCCCACTCTCTAGAATGGCTATAATCAAAAAGATAAACAATAACAACCGTTAACAAGGGTGGATGTGGAGACCTCAGCACCCTCACGCATTGCTGGTGGGTATGTAAAATGGTACAGCCATTTTGGAAAACAGTTTGGCAGTTCCTCAAAGAGTTAAACATAGAGTTACTATACAACGCAGCAGCAATTTCACGCCTAGGTATATGCCCAAGAGAAATGAAAGTATGTACATACAAAATCCTATATATGAATGTTCACAGCACCATTATACATAATAGCCCCAAAGTAGAAACAACCCAAATGTCCCTCAACTGTGAATGGATAAACAAAATGTGGCATGTCACCAAACCAAGGCAAGATGTTAAGAAAAGGGGAGGCTGGAATAGCAGTGGGGAGAGGGTGCATGGGAACTCTGTATTCACCACTCAGTTCTTCTGTAAACCTAAAATTGCCCTCCCCTCCCCCCCCCGCCAAAAAAAGTCTATTTAAAAATCTGATATATCCGTACAACGGGATATTGCTGAGCAATAAAAAAAGAATGAAGTACTAATTCATGTTACATGGATGAACCTTGAAATCATTAGGCTAAGTGCAAGAAGCCAAACACAAAAGGCTGCATATTGTATGATTCTATTTACATGAGGTGCCCAGAATAGGCAGATCCGCAGAGTCAGAGGCTAGGTTAGTGGTTGCAGGGGCGAGGTGAAAAGGGAGAGCACAGAGTGAATGCTAATGGGTAGGGGGTTTCTTTTTTTGGGGGAGTGTGATAAAAATGTCCTGGAATTAGACAGTGGTGATATTTGCAGAATCTTTTCAACATACTCAAAACCACTGAACTGTATACTTTGAAAGTATGCACTTTTGGTATGTGAATTATATCTCCATTTTTTAAACAGGACAATTGAGTTGGGTGGAGGGAGAGACGCTGTTCTTATCCTTGGGTACTAAAGGGAACCAGAGCTTTGCCACCCCAAAACGTGTCCTTTTGGGATAGTCGTTATTTGACGCTGGTTATTTTTAAGAAACGAAAGGCTCAAGAAGAGCCTTTCACCTCCCGGCTTACCTGCCTAAAGGAATTCAGATAGAAAACCCTGCTTAAAAGGAAGGGAGCTATCACCTTATCAGAATAGAAACTAAATGTGACTGACAGACAGGGAGGAACCTGCAAAATGTGTTTGTTCGACTGCCCTTTGGGTTTCGCTGTTTCTGGGTGGTCAAGCAAGAATTTGTTAACCAAATGTTTGCTCTTTCTCATCTACCTGTGAATTGCCTGCTTTCCCTGTGAAGTCCCAGACCCCTGCCTCCCTCTCCTTAGTTCAGAA